CCCCCCCCCCCCTCTGGGCGGCCCTGATTACGCCCCATTCTTATCAAGGTAGAATACGTCTTTTTTTATTATTATCTTCATATTTATCCAGGATACCCACATAGTTCGTGGGATATGACAAAATGTTGAAAAAACTTCTTTTTGCAAATTGGAGAATAACAGTGCCATTCGGTCACCCGCAACCTGCTGAGCACAACGCGTTGAGTTTCAGCTCGGTTGGCCCAATAGTCCGTGAGATATGACAAAATGTTGAAAAAACTTCTTTTTGCAAATTGGAGAATAACAGTGCTATTCGGTCACGCGCAACCTGCTGAGCACATCGCGTTGAGTTTCAGCTCGATTGGCCCAATAGATAGGCCCGAAGTGTTTCGCAGTGGGGTCCTGCCACTCTAGATTACATTAATTCAATATTTAGCCATGCACTATTTGCCTTCCTTTAATACATTAGCTGTAACGTGTGTGACGTGTCAGCTTTCTATAGATTTTTATACCCTAAAAGGCGTAACGTGTGCGTACGTGTACAGTACGTAACGTGTTGAAATTGAGTTCTATTTAGTTTGTATACATATATAAGGTATTTGAAACCATTTTCACGGAGGGAAGAAATCGTTGAGTTTTCGCATATAGCATTTTTATTGAATATGCACAGTAAAAGTGTGTTGTTAATACATTCTTCATTATTAAGCATCTAAAACAGTTAATGAAGCCAAAAGGCACTGCCAATATAAACTGTACGTGTATATAAGTAAGGAAAAAACATTGTATAGAAACACTTAATAAATGTAATGCTTTAATCGCTCTCCTCGTTTCTCACTGATCTTTGCAACACGATCTTCATCGATATAATAATTCGGTCGATGGTACTTTTTGACAAATTCATCATTGTGCTTTTATGTCTTTCAACTATCGCAAAATTGTTCAAACTTTTCTGACGTGATCTGCTAGTCAATGGCATCTTGTCCCACTTATTCTGATACCAAATGTAATAGATTTTCGATTGGTTAAAGTCGAGACTCGTTCAATTTAGGGACTATTTATGACGTCACCATGATGTCATAATTTTTACACACTATAGGGAAAATCCATATAGGCACACATCAAACACATAGTAACAGTAAAGCAAGGCTATAGTGATTCTTATTTACAGTAAAGCTGAATAACCGTATTAAATTATCGTGAGTTGAAACTACATAGACATGTGGGGTCAACCCTTCCTAACCGTAGGGTTAACACCAATCCTCGCCTTAATCAGCGCCGAACTCTAATCCAACTGTTAATCCCCATCCTAAACATAGCGTTAACCCAATTATAACCTTAGGGCTAAACCCAACACTAACCCTAGCGTTAATCTCAAATCTAACCATAACCCGATGGTTAACCCCAGATTGAAGCTTTATATAGGAAGGGCACTTTGAAGAAAGGACACTTTGAAGGCAAAGGCGCTTCGATGACAAAGGCCTTTCAACGGCAAAGGCCATTCGATGGCAAAGGCAAAGGCCCTTCGAAGGCAGGGGCTCTTCGAAGGCAAAGGCCTTTCGATGGCAAATGCCCTTTGATGGCAAAGGCAAGGCCCTTCGTTGGCAAGGTCCTTCGATGGCAAAGTCTCTCGAGGGGCACTTTGAAAGCAAACGCAGTTCGAAGGCAAAAGCAATTAAGGCTTGTCCGAAGGCAGAGTGTGAATTGTATGACTGTAAGAAGCAAACATCCTCTTTTCTCCTCGTACGGTTAGGTTGGAGAGAATTGCATTTTCAGAGAGTCTAAGTTGGAGGATGCTGCAGTGGTTAAAGCGATGGAGTAGATTGAAGCTTTATATATGGAGCGTTAGCTTCATGGCAAAGGCCCTTCGATGCAAAGACAAGTGCATTTTGAAAGCAAATGCCCTTCGATGACAATGGCCTTTCCATGTCAAAGGCCCTTTGATGGCGAAGGCAACGTCCCTTCGATGGCAAAAGTGTTTCGCCAGCAAAGGTTCTTCGGTGGCAAAGGCAAGGGCCGATCTTTGAAGCCAAAGGCTCTTCGATGGCAAGAGCAGTTTGAAGTGAAGGCACTTTGATAGAAAATTCGACGGCAGAGGGCCTTCGGTGGCAAAGTCAAAGGTAAGGGCACTTTGTAGGCAACAGCCTTCGATGGCAAAGGCCCTTCGATGGCAAAGGCAAGTGCACTTTGAAGGCAAAGGCCCTTCGATAGCAAAGGCAAGGCCCTTCGATGGCAAAAGGCCCTTCAATGGCAAAAGTCGTTCGATGTTAAAGAGAAGGCCACTTTGAAGGCAAACGCAGTTCGAAGGCAAAAAAGCAAAGGCTGTCCGATGGCAAAGTGCGAATTGTACGACTGAAACAAGCGAACATCCTCTTTTCTCACAATCACTTGAGTCTTTGTACGGCTGGGTCGGAGGAAGTTGCATTACCAGAGAGTCTAGGTCGGAGAAGTTGCAGCGGTTAAAGCGAAGGAATAGATTGAAGCTTTATATATAGAGATTGGCTTCATGGAAAAGGCCCTTCTAAGGCAAAGGCCCTTCGATGACAAGGGCAGTTTGAAGGCGCTTCGATGGCAAATTCGATGGCAAAAGCCCTTCGCATTGAAGTTGCTTCGATAGAAAATTCGAAGGCAATGGCCCTTTGAAGGTTACAACGGCCCTTCGATGGCAAAGGCCATTCGATGGATGGGTAAGGCCCTTCGATGGCAAAGTCAAGTGCAACTTTGAAGGCAATGGCGCTTCGATGGAGTGGCTTCATGGAAAAGGTCCTTCGAAGGCAAAGGCCTTTCAATGGCAAATGCAAGGGCACTCTGAAGGCTAAGTGAAGGCTTAAGGGCCTTCTTTGAAAAAAAGGCAAAGGCCTTTCGATGGCGAAGGCAAAGGCCCTTAGATGTCAAGGGCGCTTGGAAGGCAAAGGCCCTTCGATGGCTAATTTGATGACAAGGCCCTTTGTTGGCAAAGGCCCCTTGTTGGACTGGACCCATACAAACCACAGCTTCAAATGGACAAATTGCACCGTTGTATCCAGTAATGGTAGAGTCGAATACGTCATCATGAGCCTCCAAAAGATCACGGAAGCTTTGGCGTATTTAGCATGTAGAATACTGTTCGGATCCACGGACACACTACAAGAATATGTAGGTGGAACTCGTGCGGGGTGATGGGTGAGGAATTGTGGGGATGAGTGTGGGAATCCTTTATGTCCGGGGCATGTGTCAATCGCACTTGACGAAAATGCTCGCGACGGAAAATGGTCTTAGGTTCAGTAGTGTCATTTACTATAGGAACTCGTCCTGCTACGGCTTTGAGGATATGTCATATACTCATATGTGGCTGAGGGCAATCTCGAACAGATCTGGCGTAATCTGGGAGTGGCTCGAAATGGGAATTTCTGGGTACTCACCTGGCCAAATTACTGATGAAGTTGATTGGTTCGAAGAACGTGTGTCTGATGTGGTTTCGACTGGGATCGGTGATGTTGTAGTGAGCAATGTCTGCACCCTTGATGGTGATCTCTTGCCTGGAATGTCTAAGAGAGATGTCGTTGGTAACCATAAATGGGCTGTCCGCCAAAACATCAACATCCAAGTCATTTACAACAAGGGCATACGTCAAGATGGATTTCTCCAATGACGTTCAATGGAGTAAAACCATCAGCCTGCAAAGCAGTTTGTTTGGTCTTTTGGATGGTAACTCCAATTTACCAAATTACCAGAGAGTCTAAGTCGGAGGATGTTGGAGACCTGTAGATTGAAGCTTTACATATAGAGCGTTGGCTTCATGGAAAAGGCCCTTCGACGGCAAAGGCACTTAGTGAAAGAAAAGTCCCTTCGATGGCAAAGGCATGATGGGCCCTTCGAAGGCAAAGGCTATTCAAAGGCAGAGGCCATTCGATGGCAAAGGCCCTTCGACGGCAAAGGCCCTTCGATGGCAAAGGCAGATGCATTCTGAAGGCAAAGGCCCTTACATGGCAATGGCCTTTTCATGTCAAAGGTCCTTCGATGGCAAATTCGATGGCAAAAGCCCTTCGCATTGAAGTTGCTTCGATAGCATATTCGAAGGCAATGCCCTTTGAAGGCAACAAACAGCCCTTCGATGGCAAAGGCCATTCGATGGATGGGTAAGGCCCTTCGATGGCAAAGGCAAAGGCAAGTGCAACTTTGAAGGCAATGGCGCTTCGATGGTAAAAGGTAAGGGCACTTTGAAGGCAATGGCACTTTGAAGGCAACAACGGCCCTTCGATGGCCAAAGGCCATTCGATGGATGGCAAAGGCCCTTCGATGGCAAAGTCAAGTGCAACTTTGAAGGCAATGGCGCTTCGATGAAGTGGCTTCATGGAAAAGGCCCTTCGAAGGCAAAGGCCCTTCAATGGCAAATGCAAGGGCACTTTGAAGGCTAAGTGAAGGCTTAAGGGCCTTCTTTGAAAAAAAGGCAAAGGCCTTTCGATGGCGAAGGCAAAGGCCCTTAGATGTCAAGGGCACTTGGAAGGCAAAGGCCCTTCGATGGCTAATTTGATGACAAGGCCCTTTGTTGGCAAAGGCCCCTTGTTGGACTGGACCCATACAAACCACAGCTTCAAATGGACAAATTGCACCGTTGTATCCAGTAATGGTAGAGTCGAATACGTCATCATGAGCCTCCAAAAGATCACGGAAGCTTTTGCGTATTTAGCATGTAGAATACTGTTCGGATCCACGGACACACTACAAGAATATGTAGGTGGAACTCGTGCGGGGGTGATGGGTGAGGAATTGTGGGGATGAGTGTGGGAATCCTTTATGTCCGGGGCATGTGTCAATCGCACTTGACGAAAATGCTCGCGACGGAAAATGGTCTTAGGTTCAGTAGTGTCATTTACTATAGGAACTCGTCCTGCTACGGCTTTGAGGATATGTCATATACTCATATGTGGCTGAGGGCAATCTCGAACAGATCTGGCGTAATCTGGGCGTGGCTCGGAATGGGAGTTTCTAGGTACTCACCTGGCCAAATTACTGATGAAGTTGATTGGTTCGAAGAACGTGTGTCTGATGTGGTTTCGACTGGGATCGGTGATGTTGTAGTGAGCAATGTCTGCACCCTTGATGGTGATCTCTTGCCTGGAATGTCTAAGAGAGATGTCGTTGGTAACCATAAATGGGCTGTCCGCCAAAACATCAACATCCAAGTCATTTACAACAAGGGCATACGTCAAGATGGATTTCTCCAATAACGTTCAATGGAGTAAAACCATCAGCCTGCAAAGCCGTTTGTTTGGTCTTTTGGATGGTAACTCCAATTTACCAAATTACCAGAGAGTCTAAGTCGGGGGATGTTGGAGAACTGTAGATTGAAGCTTTATATATAGAGCGTTGGCTTCATGGAAAAGGCCCTTCGACGGCAAAGGCACTTAGTGAAAGAAAAGGCCCTTCGATGGCAAAGGCATGATGGGCCCTTCGAAGGCAAAGGCTATTCAAAGGCAGAGGCCATTCGATGGCAAAGGCCCTTCGACGGCAAAGGCCCTTCGATGACAAAGGCAGGTGCATTCTGAAGGCAAAGGCCCTTACATGGCAATGGCCTTTTCATGTCAAAGGTCCTTCGATGGCAAATTCGATGGAAAAGGCAAAGGCCCTTCGATAGCAAAGGCAAGGGCATCTTGAAGGCAAAGGCCCTTCGATGGCAAAGACAAGGCCACTTTGAAGGCAAACGAAGTTCGAAGGCAAAAGCAACGGCTGTTCGAAGGCAAAGTGTGAATTGTACGATTGTAAAGTCAAAGGCAAAGGGAATCTTCGTTGAGGGAGTTGCAATACCAGAGAGTCTAGGTCGGAGGAAGTTGCAGTGGTTAAAGCGATGGAGTAGATTGAAGCTTGATACAGAGAGAGTCGGCTTCATGGCAAAAGTCCTTCGATGGCAAAGGGAAGGGCACTTTGAAATAAAAGGCTGTCCAAAGGCAATGTGTGAATTGTAGGACTGTGAAAAGCAAACATCATCAGCATTACCAGATAGTCTAAGTCGGAGGATGTTGGAGTAACTTGAAGCTTTATATAAGAGCAAGGGCACTTTTCCTTCAATGGCAAAGGTCCTTCAATGGCAGGGGCATTCCGAAGGGAAAGGCCACTTTGAAGGCAAAAGCGAAGGCAACGTGTGAATTGTACGACCGCAAAAAGCAAACATCCTTTTTTCTCGCAATCACTCGAGTCTTCGTACGCTTACGTTGGAGGGAATTGCATTACCAGAAAGTCTAAGTCGGAGAGGATGTTGCTGTGGTTAAAGCGATGATGGAGTGGATTGAAGCTTTATAATAGTAAAGGGCACTTTGAAGCAAAAGGGCACTTTGAGGGCAAAGGGTCCTTCGATTGGCAGGGGCTCTTTTGAAGGCAAAGGCATTCCGATGGCAAGGCAAGTTTGAAGGCAAAACGCAGTTCAAAAGCAAAAGCAAAGGATGTCCGAAGGCAAAGTAAAGTGTGAATTGTACGACCGCAAAAATCAAACATCCTTTTTTCTCACAATCACTCGAGTCTTCGTATGGTTCTGTTGGAGGGAATTGCATTACCAGAGAGTCTAAGTCGGGAGGATGTTGCGATGGAGTAAATTGAAGTTTTATATAGCAAAGGGCACTTTGAAGGCAAAAGGCCCTTCGATTGGCAGGGGGGCTCTTTGAAGACAAAGGCATTTCGATGGCAAAAGTCCTTCGATGTCAAAGGCAAGGCCACTTTGAAGGCAAACGCAGTTCGAAGGCAAACGCAGTTCAAAGGCAAAAGCAAAGGCTGTGTCCGAAGGCAAAGTGTGAATTGTACAAAGCAAACATCCTCTTATCTCACAATCTCTCAAACCTTCGTTGAGGGAGTCGCATTCCCAGAGAATCTAGGTCGGAGGATGTTGCAGCGGTAAAGGCGATGGAGTTGATTGAAGCTTGATACATAGAGCGTCGGCATCATGGCAAAAGTCCTTCGACGACAAAAGCGCTTCGGTGGCAAAGGGAAGGGCACTTTGAAAAAAAGGTCTTTCGGTGGCAAAGGTACTTCGGTTGCAAGGGCACTTCGAATGCAATGGCCCTTCGATGGCAAAGGCAACACGATCCTTTGAAGGCAAAGGCCCTTCGATGGCAAAGAACCTTCGACGGAAAAGGCAAAAAGCCACTTTAAAGGCAAAAGCAAAGGCTGTCCGAAGGAAATGTGTGAATTGTACGACTGTAAAAAGCAAACATCCTCTTTTCTCACAATCACTCGAGTCTTCGTACTGTTATGTTGGAGGGAATGGCAGTCTCGTCCCCAGAGCCATTTTCAATCGGTCACTCGTTGAAAATTAGGCTCCGGGTTAGACGACGAAAGGGAGAGATCTGATTGGCTTCTCCGAGAACTGCTATTTCGCAGAAGTTGAGCAATTAATTTCTCTCAAAATATGTCAACACAAATACTTCGTTTCTTCGTAATACTTGCCGGTGAAAATTGTTACAGGTGCTGAAGCGTCCCATTTCAAGAGCATGCGCTTTAGAAACTACTGCAAGTTTTCTTGCGCTTCCGTGAATCCCAGGGCCTATGAAGGTCGCATGAGGCCCTGGGAACGAGGATGGTGTCATGAGTAACATGGTACGTACAGCATGGTAGTTATAAAATACTTTCAGGTGTGGGGACTGCTTGGTGCTTACTCTGTGGGCGGTGGATTTGATCCGGTGGTTAGGGTAGTTGTCTTCGTCCGGTTCAGGGTCTGATTGGTCAGAGATGGGGTTCTGCTTATCAGCAACGTGACAGATATTGTGGCAGTCCATTTTAGGCAAAAATGGGCACTGGCTTAAGTAATGCTGGAACTTGTGATAATTTTGTTTGCTTGCACAGTGGGCAGGTTTTAGCTGCGTTCTTGTTGTTGACATTTGAGAGCTTGTTGAAAGGCTGTGCGAAGAACCTTTGCTTCGTTTGTAGTGTAGCATATATATATATATATATATATATATATATATATATATATATATATATATATATATATATATATATATATATATATATATATATATATATATATATATATATACAAAATTATTCAAAGATTATTTTATTAAATTAAATTACCAAACAATAACGTTATCAAAACATACCTTTGAGAAAACAACATCTTCACAGCAAAAATATATTTCAACAGTTATTTCTCGAGCGGCGCGTTGAGAATATATATCTTGAAAAATAATGACCGCACTGACACGTGCGCTGCATTTCGGGATGACCCTCATTCTTCCTCTGCTCTCCTCCGATCAATGATGCTTTGATTCAATTGCACAATTTTACGAAGCGCACTTAAACTAAGCAACTATGTGATGTATCTTTGCAATACTCGGCCGGCGATAATTTCCCCAGTTTTCCAACCTCCATCAAAATCGCCCGAAGATCGTCTTGAATAATGCGCGAAACGTCTGTTGTGGAGCTCTGCATTGTACATGAAATTGTTGACCGTATGTGATGTATACTATTATTGTTTGTTACTTATAACATTTATATATAATATAGACTTGAAGATCTGTAATCCAGGCATTTTATTAAATTAAACTATATATTTTTTTAAAATTATATATTTTTAATGTTTATTTTAATATAGATATAAATTAGTTATTTTGTGGCTCGATAATGATACAATTGTTCTTCTAGCTTTCTCTGTAGAATCTGAAAAATAAATTTATTGTAATTTAATTAACAGTTATCCAAATTATTGTATATAAGTTATAACAAACAGCAAACGCACCAAGTTAGCCAGAGTTTACCTGTAAAGTACTGTGGTCTGTTGATTCAATTTTTACTCGGTCGTTACTCTATTTATTATATACATGACAAAATTACTGCAATCTGATTGGTTAAGAGGAGTGCAATTATTTCATTAGTTATTTATCTTCTGTAATCAGTGGCAAATACTGCAATTTCATTGGTTTACAGGAGTGCGATTTTGAGCATTAATCGCACCTTTTCTGAGCTGTAATCGCACTCTTGTCTACAGCCAATGAAAATCAGTCTAGTATTTACAACTAGCCAACCAGCATTCAGGATACAAACTTTGAATTTTATTTTCTTTATTGCTGTAAAAAATTTCAAAATGGAGGAATTCACAAATTTTGAAAATTTTGACCTTTTAATTTTTAATCAGCCCTCGAAAACCGTCAAAATTGAGGTCGGAAAAAAAATGCAGACCTAAATCTGACCTAGCTCGGCACATCTCAGCATTTTTTAAAATCTGTTTCCATGTCTTGGAGTACTAGTAGCCTGCACTAGTAATCACGTATTTACGAATCATTGAAAAGTATAAATGTCACGAAGGCTTTTCTTTTAGAGTCTTACCTAAATTATATCATAATACCCGTTAATTCTTAAACCTTACACCAAAGTGTATCGAATTCTATAACCGCTGACTTTTTAACAGCTATAACCACCAAAAAAGATTCTCACTTTGGCTGAATTGTTTTGCCGACCTGGGAGGTTGATAGGTCGGCATTTTAATAGGTCGGCATTGCCGAATGCCGATCTCGTTTTCGAGGATTGTTAAATTATATATTTTCTGACGAAAATGACCCTACCTGTTCTTCCAGCAGAAGACACCGAACTAGACACAACCAGGAGTTGTATTTCAATCAAATTCAGATGATTAACTTAACTAAAGAACTTCACTATTTTGAACACGTTATAAACACACAAACATGGCTTCCCAATTGTGTGTTGAATAATTCAAACAAATGTTGTCATGTGATTATACCGGAAATAATGCCCAGAAGTTAATGATATGTTGATTTGATTATATATGATAAATAATTCAAAATTGTACTATTTCACCAAGAATTGTCGTGACAAAAATTTAATAATTATATTGAATTTCAACAAATTGTATTTTTGTGCTTTTCCCCCTTAAACAGTTTGATTACAGAAGATAAATAATTAATAAGTAATAGAACGAATTAAGTCGTTTTATTAATGCCATAATCATACTCGTGATTAACAAATCAACCTCCCGCTACGCGGTCGGTTGATTTTGTAATCACTCGTATGATTATGGCATTAATAGCACTCCTATTCGTTCTATTACCATCATTAATTGCACTCTCCAGGAGTGCAATTAATGATTTTCGTGATGGCTGGGGGGAGCGGGAAATCAAAATAACAAAAGCCAATATGGCGGCGAAATTTAGATAAGTATTTCTAACAAATGTGGACGAATTTAACTGGATTTGGGCACAAGAGTTAGTTTAAGAAACATTGTATGGCAAAACGAGCCTGTGGAAAATAGCTGGAAACAGTCTTAAGAAATAATCTTGGTGTGATGCAGCGAAACGTGACTATGTAAGTTTGAAATACAATTTATAAAGACTTTCTTAGTCTAAAATATGTTGTTTGAGTTTTAATCTTGTGTTCTAGTTTAAGTTATGCGCCTTTATGAGTTTATAATCATTTCCCAAGTTTATTTATACCAAATTGCTTACAAAAGAATTAAAAACTCTTGACAAAATGCAGTTGAAATATAAAGAAAGCGATTTTGTCATGCATATAATAAATAAATAATCACACGGGCAAGTCGTGCAATTAATGATTAACACTACTCGTGATATTTGAAAAATGTGCCAAATTGCACTCGGCTCTTGCAATTTTGGCAGATTTTTCAAATATCACTCGTACTGTTAATCATTAATTGCACTCCTTCCAGTGGGATTACCTATACATAATATAACAGCACTGATTGAACCACTGCCTCTGGATTAACTTACGAAAATAGATTTAGCCCATGCAATAAAACTATTTAAGATCGTTATTCTGGGCATGCGGGTCGAGCGAACCAGTTTGAACAAGCGTTGTAACTGTCTACTGTGACAGTTTTAATTCGCACGGGTGCTTACATGAAAGCTGGGTTACAGTACATTCTGCGCATGTGCGGGCTTTGTTTACATCTTTTGTTTTGGATCCACTTCAATTGTATAATATGAAGTATAACGGCAACGCAATAAACAAATTTTAAAATGAAGGAGTCAGCCAGTCAGGAGTGAAGTTAATTTTTTTCTAAATTGTCGTCTGAAAGACAAGCAATTAAATATTTTAACAGACCACCAATGGAAGATATATTGTTGATCAATTCGGAATTTTTCTTTTGTGTGCTTCGTTAATAAAACATTCACAAGAGGCCGCGACACAGCAAAGGTGCGAGTTCGCAACTCATTGTGTTTTGATAATGTTCGGCATTGTAAAATAAACTTTGGAAGTGTCAATGAAAGTAATCATGAATCTTTCCTTGGAGTATTTGTTCGTCGAAACACATTGTCCGAGTCATTGTTGCCGTCATGGCAGAAACACTCGGAAAAAGCTTTTCGCTGGAAGAAATGGAGACGATATATTCATGTCGCGGCTTCTGTCTTCGATAGAGAGCCTGCAAACGTTTTTGCTCAAGCGCGTGCCACGAAGAGGATTTTGATACATGTATGAACAATAGAAGGGTTCAAGAACGTGACAGTGACCAGACCTTGAGTTTGTATTATTGCTATTAGCTATGTACTAACACTGTTCGTTATAATTAAACGTGGTTCACACATGTAATCTTATTATTTTCGTTCATTAGTTTATACATGTTTCGCTTACGCAAAAAAATGGCCTGAACAATGTTCATTTGAGAATATGTAATGTTGTTCATTGTGATTGTTCACTCTAAACGAAGGATAATGATCATCTAACAATCGAGTTGAATAAACTTTGTTTACATAGTTTAATACTTTGCCGGCTTGCCAAGAATATGCGCAGACATACATTTGAGATTTTGAGTGACAGTACATTTCCGAAAGTTTAACACATATGATTTGTTTTATTACATACCCTGCATAATTGTGCATATCCTTGCCGAGTAAAATATCAAATTATGTAAAAAGAGTTTACCCGTCTAATACAAGTCTACAGAGGAATTGGTGGTAAGAAATATCAGTGTTTCACTGTGCTTGAGTCTTTGCATTTAATTAATGATAAATATCTTTACATTTCAGAATCTTGTGGAAGCAATGGATTTAATTTTAAATGCCCTAAGAGCATTGCCGATTTGGTAAATAATGAATTGCCAGGTGCACCGCTTCAACCAGACCCAGAGGAAAACCCAGAAAATGTCCCAGAATGTTGCGAATGTGGATGCTGTGTTGCAATACCAACACAATTGGGTCAATTGGAAAACAAATGCTGTACACAAACAAGACAGCCTTGCATGACCCTAGCCCCTCTGTTCCCCACAGTTAGTACTTGATGGAAACGTTCTGGACCTGGCCATGCATTACAGGGCTGGGAAGACTTTTTAGTGTTAAATAATGTTAGAAACAATGAAAATTTTCACATGCTGCTTACAAACAATATGTACTCTGGCAACATGAAAAGATTAGGAAGTGGGAACAGGATAATGATTCCAAGCTGTTGTGTTACAGCAATACAGAGACAATTTCCTTCTGCAAGATTGTAAATATTTGTTGCACATGTTTTTATTATTATTATGTTATTGATCATTGAGGAAAACTTTATTATTCATTAACCTATTTTACTGCAATTATCTTCCCATGACAGGGAGGGTCATTTTAAATATTTTGAAAGAACTTGGGTAATTCACACTTGTTAAAGCCTGTTCACACAAGCGATTTTAAACTGTGATTTTCTCCTTTCGGCATACAGTATGTGATTTAATTAGCAAAATTACAGGAAATATTACTTTGCATGGCTTAGCTCATACATTTGTTGTGATTATTCACTCTAACACATACACCAAAAGAAGAAAATTGCAGTTCAAAATTGCTTGTGTGAACTAGCCTTTATAGGTTATGTTGCGATGTGCCCCATTGCTTCAAATTTATTTTAAGCTTTCTCTGTCTACTAACCACATCAAATTCTGCTAACATATGAAAGCCTTTATCATTTTAATGGGTTAAATCTTTATGGACAGTAATATTTCATTTTATAAAAGACAAGTTATCAAATGCATTGGATGTTCCAGTACAACATTTGGTACTGACATTGATATTTTTATTCTTCAAAATTACTCCTGGCTTCTTACTTCAGTTCTGAAAAGTGTATGGCTGTTTCGCTCTACATTAGAGCTCATCAGCATGCCTGGGAAACACCGAAGATTAATGAATCCAACATGGACAGCCTGACCCACTAGTTGGGTCCGGAGTTTGAAATCAGAATTTTCCTTCTCCTAGGTGGACTATCTTTCAGGGATTATGCGCTCCACCTATATATACCCACAGAAACTGATGGGTTTCAACAAGTTCTTTGACTGAAGGAGGAGGGACAGGGGCTATGTTAGCAGCCTTCGGTCATGCATCACTTGCAATACCAATCCCCATACCGAAAGAAGATTTATAATTAGTTTAGTTCCGGTTTAAATGCACATTAGTGCCTGCTGAGCAATGTGTTTTAAAAGCACTTAATCAAGCCAAATTTTGATTTTATTAATGTTCATGCAAATCAAATTTTGGCTTCCAAAAAAACATTTAAGTGCTCTTAAAACATATAAATCAGCAGGTGCTACTGTGCCCTTAACATGCCTACAGAATGATCGATCAAAAGATTTGTTTGAAAATGTGATAAGAAAATGAATTTCACAATAAAAACCAAAAGTCATACTTTTTCTCACCAAGGCTCAGAAAAGCATAAAATGTTATACATACCTTCATTGTAAGTTGTAGGATGTATTCAGTATTTATACTGCTTAGGAGTAAGAATCTTTACACGATTCCATCACTGTTTCCATTGCTGAACATATACTGAACATATACTTGCTGGACATTGTCTGCATAGCTGGCAATGGCTCATGGCGGCATTGTTTCATCTGGCTGCTGATCTGTCTGGGTTTCCACAGCGCTATAAGTGCACAATAAAGTTTTGTAATGTCGAAACATAACAATATTAACATAATTGTTTTTGTTTGTGGAAACACCACGTAAATTTATTACTGTAAAGCTTTCGATCCGTATAAGCCCGGATCTTCATCAGTGCTGATAATATGAGTAATAAATTAATAAATAATAAATTAAAAAAAAAAATAAAAAAAAAAAAAAAAAATTATATAAATATATAAATTAAATATAAATAAAAATAAAAAATGTATATATTTATATAATTTAATATATATATATATATATATATATATATATATATATATATATATATATATATATATATATATATATATATATATATATAGAGAAAGAGAGAGAGAGAGA